CTGGGGCGGGGGGACGATGACTCATCCCCCCCCCGCCTCCAGGAGCACTCTACACGCCTCCTAAAGGCTATGCATGCCCTTTTTTTTTTTTTGAAAAATGGTTCTTTTTGGGGTGGTTTGCGGAGTGCAAAAACTTTTTTTTAATTTGCCTCTTCAAAGTCTTGGTGCGTCTTATACTCCGAAAAATATGGTACTTTTGTGTGTTGGTATCTTTATCCCACAGAATCCTGGCTGTTCCTTCATCCCCAAAATCCTATAGGAGTCTACAAAATAACCCACTGCAGGGAGGTATTGGAGAGTATTAGGATATGATTTTTTTCTAAATATGCTGATTTGATCACAAAAGTATTTAGAAGGAATTCCAAAATTGAGAATACATATTATTTAAGGAGAAGGCAAGTCTACGCCTAAAGGAAATCCTTGTTCTTTTTTTATTTTTCACAGATCTGCTTTAGCAAGCAGTTCACTATAATTCTGTTGTGCTAAAAAGCTGTTTTATGGTTAAAATAACAAAATAAATAACAAATCAAATAACAAAAAATTGGAATGTGGAAATGAGATGTGAAGGAAGTAATGTAAAAGAGATTAAATGGCACACAAATAGAGGTTAGGCAGTCTTGATACCATCTTCTTAAGTGTCTTTATAGAGATTCTTAATCATCCAGGTCATGGTTGTCAAAAAGGAGCTTTTTCAAAAAACAACTGGACTTCCTTGGATAGGAAGAGAAACGTCTTCAAAGAAAAATCAGAAAGTCCTATTGCCTCTTGAAAAAGCACCTTTGGGGCATCTTCTTAAGTCTCAGTAAACCGCTAAGAATTATTGTTTTAACAAATACATCACATTATCTCTGCTCAAGATCATTTCCTTTCTATCCAGTCATAAACTTACATGACACCAGTTTTCTCCAGTGAGCGCTGCCTTCGTTTGCATGATGCTTTCACAGCTAAGATGAAGATCACAGTGTTGATCTTGAAGGGAAAAATACACAAAGATCAGACACAATTTATATTTTATGAAATACACTGTGTATCTGTGGGAGCGTGAACAATAACAACAACAAAAGAATTACGCTTCTGGGAATCTTTTTGTATTTATATTTGTAATTCTATTTTTTCCCTCCACAGCGTTCTAAATAGCCCACCATAAATTAACAATAAAAGCATTAGCATGGAAGGCAGAAATATAAACTCCAAACAGTAACAAACAGCAGCAAACAGATTGTGTAAAGTATTTAGGAAGCAAGAAAAATTATACATGGGAAACTCTCTGTAAATGTAGGGAATGGGATGGAAGTAGTTAGGAAGGCAAATGAGAAAGACTGTATTGTTAATGGGCTAAAGAATTATGCAGTACTAAAGTAAGCTTATGGCCACACAACGTAAGACAGGGGTGTCAAACTCAGGGTCTGCAGGCCGGATCTGGCCCACAGGTGCTTAGATGTGGGCCACGGGGCTGTCCTGGAAACAGCGAAGGACTGGCCCATGGTGCTTCTGCCAGTGAAAATGGAGCCAGGGGTGCCCCCTCCATTTTGCTGGCAGAGGGCTGCAGGAGGCTGTCCAGGCTGAACATGGGGTCCATGGGGGCCCACACGTGGCCCCCAATGGCTCCACTTTCCCTGGCAGAGGGCTAGCAAAACAAACTAAAAGCCAAAGAAAACGAGAAATGTTTCCCCTTTTGCATTTGAGCATCCAAGAAGGGACAGGAAAGGAGAAAGGGAAAGAGGAAAGAAAAAGATGGGAAGCAAGGAAAAAGAAGGAAAGCGAGGGAGGGAGGGAGGGAGGGAGGGAGGAAGGAAGGAAGGAAGGAAGGAAGGAAGGAAGGAAGGAAGGAAGGAAGGAAGGAAGGAAAGGCCTTAGCACTTGGTCACCAGTAGATGACAAGGCCCTCTGGAGGACAAGGGTTTGGCACTCCCCCTGGTCTCACCATTCTCCGCTGGAGACAATGGATCCCCTCAGCCCCGCCTGGACCACCACAGGTGCCCTGACCCCCCCCCCCCAAGATCAAACACAACCCTGATGCAGCCCTCAATGAAATCGAGTTTGACACCCCAATGTAAGAGATTGGTATTGTCCATTAAAGTCTTAAATGGTTGAGGGTCTAACTATCTGTAGGGCCAGCCTCTTGTTGCAATCCTAAATAAAATTTAGAGGTGAGAGTCCCTTCTGAAGGTACCCCAACTATCAGAATACAGAATAACACAGATGGAAGGGACCTTGGAGGTCTTGTAGTCCAACCCCCCTGCTCAAGTAGGAGACCCTATCCCATTTCAGACAAATGCCTGTCCAATCTCTTCTTAAAAACCTCCAGTGATGGAGCATCCATATCTTTCTTCCACCAGGTTTTTAATTGGCCGTGAATGATTTTACCACTTTTATTGTTAATTTTAATATGAAGCTTTAACTTTTTGTTGTTCTCTTTTTAAATTTTGAGTATTTACCAGAGTACAAAGATGGGTATAAATCAAATAAAAAAGAAACAAGTATAATAATATTGTTTTAAGACATTTATATACAGCTCATTCAGCATGATTTTAACATTATTTGGGCTGTTTGCTCTGCAAATCTTGGAGAGATTCATTAGTTATAACTATAGGGAAAACTTTTTTTTAACTCAATACTTTCAAAAGCTTACGGTTTTTAAAAGTTCTAATTTCAGTGAGACAAGGGGAAAATAAAATTCAAAAGGAGGGTGCATATCTCTTGAATGTGTTAAAATATTTATTAGAATTTTTATATAGACAAATTTAGCCATATTACAACTTTAAGGAGGGTATAACTTCAGGTTTCACTATATTTAAAATTACATTTGTATTCCTGTCAGTAAAAGGCATGCACATAATTCAACTCGAAGAAGATCTGTCTTTTAACAAATAGTAGTAATGTTTGGGGCAATAAAGGAAAATTGTCATTAATCACATTGCTCCTGGCAAGGTGGATGGACTCAGTTACAGTACCAATAGGAACACATTAGAAAACCTGAAAGACCAGATTAGGGATAGATCTTCGTGAAGAAAATCTATCTATGGGGCTACTGAGAGTTGGAAACTACTTGATGGTATATAATCAATCATTAAATCAATCACTTAAAGAAATTGCCATTGAGATACTTTTTAATTTTAAATAGCGGTTAGATATAAATTCTTATTTATATTTTGTATATGGATCTAAATGGAAGATTTCCTCACACTCACTTACCATATTTTTGGGAGTATAAGATGCACTGGAGTATAAGACCCACCAAGGTTTTGAAGAGGCAAATTTAAAAAAAAGAAAGTTTTTTGCACTCTGCAAACCTCCCCCAAACGGTCCATTTTTCACAAAAATAGGCCCATCCCCTCCCAAAAGGGCGTGAATAGCCTTAGGAGGCTTGTAGAGTCTTCCAGGGGGAGTGGGGGGCCAAAAACGAGCAAAAAAACGGCCCATTTTTTGCAAAAACGGGCCCATTTTTTGTCAAAAAAAAAAAGGACATTAGGAAGCTTATAGAGTGCTCCTGGGGGCCTGGGGAGGGGGAGGAAAATTGAGCAAAAAATGGCCCATTTCTTTTCAAAAAATGGCATGCATAGCCTTTAGGAGGCTTGTAGAGTGCTCCTGGGTTTTATGGGGGAGGAAAATTGAGCAAAAGACAGGCCTTTTTTTGCTCATTACTGCCCTTCCCAGCCTCCAGGAGCTCTCTGAAAACCTCCTACAAGCAATGCACGGCCATTTTGACGAAGGGGGCAGGGTTTCAGGAGGCAAAAAAAATGCTGTATTCAGTGTATAAGATGCACCCAAATTTCCAGGCTCTTTTTTGAGGGAAAAAGGTGCATCTTATACTCCAAAAAATACGGTAGTTGTTCATTCACTCTATGCTGTCAGATATCTTATTCTATTAAGAGGGCTATAACACTACAGAATCAACAATACTTACAGCCACAACTATTACAATTGGACCAGCAAAGCTCCAAATCAGGGTATCATAAACAGAGAGCCAGCAAAAATCTTGGTTCCCATATCCCTGAGGATCTAAACCAACAGCAAGACCTGCATTGCAATACAAAAAGAAAACCAGACAGAAACTCACTTTATGGAGTCCTTAGTTTGAAGCATTAATTCACACCAAGAAATATATATTTTTTAAATTGTCTAAGAACAGCAAGAGGATTTCCCTTTTTTTGTTGGGTTTTGTGGGGAGAAGCAAACTTTTTTGCTGTCTAAATCTTATGCTATAGGTTTTGTCATGGAACTTTTTCATCTTTAAAGAAAAAAACACCCATATTTTCAAGATATTTGTGGGAAATAACCATCCTCATTCTTAAGTTGTTTTTGTTGTTGAAAAAGTGATTACAAAACAACCTTGGTACTACAGTATGAAAATTGGTGGGGAGAAATCTATATCCTTCTCACATGTTAGGGCTTTTTGTAGCATATCCACTACAAAAAGATAACAGTTTTCAAGAGTATTAATAGTCCTTCTCTCAGTATCATGCCTGGGGCACATTATCTTATCATGTATCACTCCATGCCATGCTATAATGCTTCATGTTATTTTTTAGTACATACTCTGTTTCTCACTATTAAATATTATTCAAACAAATAAACAGAGTGAGGCAAGCCAAGTTCTAATTCCTAAGCAAATAATTATAATTCTTTTTAATATGCAGATGAACTAGAGGTGATAAGTTTATGTTCACATTCAGCTAACTTTCAACTATAGTTTCAAGAAAAAAACCTTCTTCATGGCATACTGTACCATTACTGCTACTTCTCACTACAAAAAATATGATGAAGAACCTTTCTTTTTCTACAGAGTACTCTCCGTCTCTCTCTCTCTCATATATGTTTGTGTGTGTGTTGCATTTGTGCTGATAAATAAATAAAGGGAGACTAGTATAGATCTATTTCAAGCTCTTTAGCTCTCATCAGCTAGCCATAACCTTACTGAGATTCAAACCTGGGTTGTTTTTACATGTTAGGCAGTTGTATTAGCCTCTAAGCCACAAGCTCTCCTCCCTTATCAGCTTAGCCAAGGAAATGATTAAGTTTTATGTCAAAGTACCTGGTATGCCCAAATATGGGAGGGAGCATACTGCTTCCCTTTAAGCTATTTAGCTCTCATCAACTAGCCATACCCTTACTGGGATTTGAACCTGGCCTGTTTTTACATGTTAGGTAGTTATATTAGCCTCTAAGCCACAAGCTCTCCTCCCTTATCATCTGAGCCAAGGAAATGATTAAGTGTTATGTCAAAGCACTTGGTATGCCCAAATATGCTTGAAATAGATCTATACTAGTCTCCCTTTATTTATTTATCAGCACAAATGCAACACAAAAATGGTTTTCTGCCTGGAAGGCTCCTAGAGTGCAGCTGAAAGGCAAAAAGGAAGCAGTATGCTCCCTCCCATATTTGGACATACCAGGTGATTTGACATAACACTTAATATACAGTACATATAATTCTATATTCTATATCTATATATAGATGGCTGTGTGTGTGTGTGTGTGTGTGTGTGTATGTTCCAGCATAACTCTGGAACACTTCGAACAATTTCAACCAAACTTGATGACCTACTCTCTGGAAACAAATACTGTGGGGCTAAGACACCCCTAACACCCCTTGGGAGTGTGTGTTCTGTTAAGATACAGCCTGTTGTGCCTTAAATGGCTTCTACTGTACTGCTGTAAAATGGCTTCTACTATACAGCGCAATGGAGTTGCTATGGTAACATCTTCACAGTACTCCACAAAGTGGCTTCCTCTGGTAAGGGGGAAAATCCAACATTAGAAATTACGTTTGGTCTGGATATTTTCCCCTTATAAATAAATACCTGGGCAATGCCGTGTTATCAACTAGTACTTCTATACAACTTAAGTGGATGAAAATACAACAGAAGATTGGCTACAGTCAAGGAAGTATGGATTGCATTTTTTGCTTTCACTTTTTAATTTTAGCAAGTCTCATCAAGCTGGGATCAAAATAGTGACTATATGGGCAAATGCAAGGTTCCAAGATTAGTTGAGTAATCTCTTTGATCCTCTCTATCTACTGTTATCTCCAGTTTTCCCTCCTACTTTCTTCAACCTTGACAAGTATAACTGTTTTTTCTAGTACAGCATCTTCTCACATCCATTCCCCAAGTCTGTGAGTTTCTATTTGCTCATCATTTCAGCCAGTATTTATTTATTCCAGGACTGATGGAATGGTTCCACTTACAATCCACTGTATTCTTTAATAATGTTCATAAGATAGCCTTGATTATTAGGCTGCTAATATTTAAGACTGCAGAAATTAGGTTTCTGATGCAAATAACGAGGTAGAAAAGTTATGATTCTTCAGATGCTACTTGAGCCATTCACAGTCATATCATGTCACTTTGAAAAGTGTCATCACTTACCAGCTGGTAACAATTAGAATGTACAACTGTGATGGAAAATATTTTAGACCTGGTAGTGAATATATTTTCGTTCATTTGAGACACCGTATTTATTCAGAATAACTTTGGATAATCACGTTTAAATATTTTCATCCAAATATTTTAAGTCACTATGTTTAACTTCTAGTTTAATGTACATTTGAAGGGAATGGAAATTAAATGGCAGCATTTAAAACCAGAATATTAATTTTGTATGCTTTTCTCTAGCCTAAGGTAGTATTTTCACAACTTCAAGTAGAAACCTTTGATATACCTTGCCTGTATTTGCTCAAAATATATAAAACTTTCCCCAATTTTCAATTACCAAGAATTCCTGGGAGAAAGTTATGGCAGTCATAAAAATAAACCTAAGTTTATGCCCATTCTTACCTGTAATAATGGCAGGAATCCCCCAACCCATAACGTAATAGAACTTCATGTGCCCAAAATTGATGTTTCTCACTTCAGTCAGCATGCGGTAGATATGAAGTTGCTCAACAAATATCCACGCAAACGTGCTCATGTAGAAATAGTGCAAAAGAATGGCTATTACGGTGCACACAAACTAGAAAAAAGAAAGAATCCAGATCAATTAGAACTGCCTCTACCAAAACACCATATTTTTTTAGCACAACTATTAATGTATGGTTATATGTAAGTGAACATTCATAAGGGTTGCATTCCAAATTTACTGTTTTATGCATGACAGCCAATCCATTTTTTTGGAGGGGGGGGACTATCTTCTGTAATACTACCCTGCTTCTCCGAAAATAAGCCCTCCACGGATAATAAGCCATATTGGGCTTTGGAGCGCCTGTGCTAATAAGTCCTGCCCCCAAAATAAGCCCTATCCCAAAAAATTGCAACACAGCAGCAGCCATGAGGGGGCCACGCTCGTTGCCTCCTGCATCCCAAAAATAACAAGACCTCTCCGAAAATAAGGCCAAGCGCTTTATTTCGGGGGATAAAAGAAAATAAGACCCTGTCTTATTTTCGGGGAAACACGGTAAGTCATTCTACACTAGATCAAACGTAAATGTCATCCAGCACTCATTTTAAACATGTCTAATCAGATGTTTCTGAGTCTCCAAAGAAAAGTTAGGAGAATCATCATCTTACATTGTTCCCCAGAAACATATTTTCTCTTGATTTATAGCAATCTAAAGTCAACTATACATTCATAATTTTGGAAAGCTAAGATCCCTAAGATCTTCCCAGAAAACCCCCTAAACCCCCTTTTATGAACTTCTGGAGCAACATGTGACCAGTCTTAACTATGATGCATTAAAGCAACCCAATGTCAAACAAGTCAATGAAACTAACTTGTACAGGTAGTCCTCAACTTACAACAGTTCACTTAATGGCCATTCATAGTCACAACGACACTGAAAAAAGTGAGTTATGAACAGGGGTGGGTTCCAGCAGTCATTACTGCCGATGATTTAAGTGCAGTTTGAAAAATTTACCTGATCCTACACTGGTTAACAGTTGGACCATAAGAAAGGCTGAGTGCCAAAGAATGGAGGCCTTTGAACCATGGTGCTGGAGAAGACTCCTGCGAGTCCCTTGGACTGCAAGGTGATCCAACCGGTCAGGCCTAGAGGAGATCAACCCTGACTGCTCTTTAGAAGACCAGATCCTGAAGGTGAAACTCAAATAATTGGGCAACCTAATGAGAAGGAAGGAAGCCAAAGAATTGAGGCCTTTGAACTCTGGTGCTGGAGAAGACTCCTGCGAGTCCCTTGGACTGCAAGGTGATCCAACCGGTCAGGCCTAGAGGAGATCAACCCTGACTGCTCTTTAGAAGACCAGATCCTGAAGGTGAAACTCAAATAATTTGGCCACCTGTTCTGACCCCCCTCGTCCTACACCAAAGCA